AGAATCACAAATGAATCCCCAATTGTTTGTATAGAATAAAAGATGAATATAAAAAAAAAAAGAAAAGAAAAGATTAGAAAAGAAAAAAGAAAAGATGAGGTTGTGCCAAGTCAATAAAAAAAGATGAATATAATTAAATTAAATAAAAGATATAAAAATACAAAATAAAACATGAGGATGTCAAGAAAATAAAATAAAAGATGAATATAAAAAAAAATAAGAAAAAAAAAGAAAAGATGAGGTTGTGTCAAGTAAATAAAAAAAGATGAATATAATCAAATAAAATAAAAGATAAAAAAATAAAAAATAAGAGATGAGGTTGTGTCAGGTAAATAAAATAAAACATGACTATAATATAATAAAATAAAAGATAAGAAAATACAAAATAAGAGATGAGGTTGCATCAAGTCAATAAAACAAATTGAAAAATACATAAAATAAAATTAAAGATGAGGTTGTGTCCAGTAAATAAATACCAAATATATCAAACCTCAAAACTGTGTGAGCCTGCGCAAAGGCGGAAAAAAAGTCATGGTACCCAAAAGCCATTAGTTTAGAGCAGGGGTAGACAAACTCCGGGACCTCCAACTGTGGTGGAACTACAAGTCCCATGAGCCATTGCAACGCCCTCAGCCACAGGCATGACTCCCAGAGGCAGAGGCATGATGGGAGATGTATCAGACCCCTAATTTTTCCCCCACCCTCTGCCTCAGCCAGGACTGTACTTGATGTCAATCTGGCTTTTCAGTTGGGTTTTGGCAGCACTGAACCCGGAAATGTTCAGAGCTGAGCTCCTCCGCGTTCTCATTTTGCAGCATGGAACCGGGTAAGGAAATTAGACCCAAGTTCATGGCTTGAAAGCCCGCATGTACCAGACGTGTCCAAAGAGCTCAAGGAGGTTAAAGTACCATACGTGTACTGTATACCCAATCACTAAAGTTTCATTCAAATTAAATATGGTAATATCATTTCAAAAGCCATTTTCCACCCTGCCATGAAAGTCCTTATCCCGGCACTTCCTCTTATAGAGTGACAACACTCCGTCCCTGTCTCCCAATTGTGTTCCTGCATTGCCACATTGTCTCAGAGCCTTCCGATATGCAATTTCAACACACATATTATTATACAGTATGTGCAGGGCCAGAAGGACCAGACGAAGTCCAACCAAGGCCCAGCCTTGGGGCAGCAGGGAGTAGAGGGGCGGCAGGGGTGTGGAATTCCTATCTCCCGACGCCCGGGACATGCAGTTCCGGGTGCTGGGCGGGTAGTTGTTTTCTACATTTTAGCCCTGCCTCGGGCAAGCAGAGCTAAATGTACAGCGGGGAAGCCGCCGCTTGTTATGTACAGTGATCACTTGTATGCAACCTGCAGATCTGCCATTCTCCACGGGGGTGGGGGGTTGGTGGGCATTGAGGAACCTGGTATTGGGGCAGCAGAGAGAGTAAATCCAGCCCTGAGTATGTATGGTACACCATTGTCACCATTAGGAAACCCGCCCTGAGGAATGCCATGCAACCATCACTGGAGCACACATGTAGACAGGAAATGGCTGCAAACAGACTGCAGGAGTCTATCCGCAGGCAGCGACAGAGAGTTGTCACCCTATAACAGGAAGAGGCTTGAACTTTCATGGCAGGATCACCAGGGATTCTTTTCATGGAAAGTGCAGATATAAAAATATTGAGAATTACTATTTAAAATGACATTCATTGGTCAAAGTTTACATGAGATATTAGTGATTGGGTGTACATCTACTACAGTGGTTCTCAATCTGTGGGGTCGCTGTGTGATTTCTGCTGTGCTAGGTGAGAGTCCTCCTCAGCCCTCTCCTAGCGCAGCAGTGTCAGTTCTCCCGCCACGCCGCCAGATGTCGCTGCAGCAGCCGCGTCATCCCTAAATTTTACCGTTGGGGGTCAGCACAACTTGGCAAATGTTACCAAGGGGTCCCGGCCCTAGAAAGGTTGAGAACCGCTGATCTACTATAAAAGGAAAGGTTTAACACAGCTATAAAACAAAACATGCTCCCTCACAGACATAGATGTATACTGCCCACTGCTGGTTTATATAACAATATAACTGATAATAATAATAATAATAATAAACTATTCACTGAAAGTGAAATAACATCCCACATTTTGGGTTGTCACCAGAAGAGGAATAGAGGGGAAATGTCCAATGGGGAGACTAATTCTGGTGACCACCAGGGATTTCTCTTACTTCCTGTTGTGACTAGGAAGGGAAATCCAAAGGGAACTCATCTTAAAGATGAACTCCGGGCAAATAAAAAAAGACACAAATGAATGCAGCTCTGCGATCAATACGACATTACATGTATTTTTTTTTAAAATAAATAAAAGTAGTGAAATGATTAGAATAAGAATATCGAGGAATTGTTTTGGCTTCATGTTACTTTAAAGGAGAAATATGGGGTCAGTGTTTTTCCCCATAGTTCTCCTAAGGGTCTTGGGAGGACATAAAGTAGCGTCCTCCCGTCACCCAAAGCTCAGTATACCGCGAGCTACAGCTCCTGGTATACTGAGACCACCGCAGCTGGGACAGATCCCAACATTACTGTCAAGATCCACCCAGCTGCGTGAGTGACAGCTGGCTCTGCCTATCTAGAGGCAGAGCCAGCTGTACCCGCCCCCCTCCCCGTCCGTTCCTCCAGTCAGCGCTGGAGGATCGGAGCGGGCAGGGGGGGAATACCTGTGGGGAGCGGTGAGTGACAGTCACGGCTCTCTGCAGGGAGATGATCGAGAAGTGAGCGAGCGACGGTATGTGTTCGCTCACTTCCCGATCTATTGAGCCGACGTGTGACAGTTTCATTGTCACATGTCGGCTCGAACTATGAGGAGCCGTGGTTTTCACTCACCTCATAGTTCTCCTTTAACCCTTGCAGTGCTGGGGTAGCCCCACTGCATGGGTAGCCTTTTTAAATTCCAGGAGTTCCTCTTTAAATGTAAGTTGTATCCACCTGACTGCACTGTGTAATGGGGCTGTACATTGTATATTGGATTATTGATGCCTGATACATGTCTTCAGAATACAATGCCACGAGATGCAGTTATGTAACGCCTCTTATAATGTCTCTTCCATCGTGTTTGCCAGAGTACACAGTCATCAACGAGAACTGCCCCGGGGCGGAGTGGAATATTATGTGTCGGGATTGCTGTGAATATGACCAGGTGGAGTGTACGTGTCCCGGGGGCAATAAGAAGGTTGGCTACACCATCCCCTGCTGCCGCAACGAGGATAATGAGTGTGACTCCTGCCTTATACACCCAGGTACTAGAATCGGAGTGCTGGCTCAAAACACGGGATCACATAAAAGCAGTTATGGTAGGCAAAGGGGGTGATAACACTTAGGGGTGCATTTATAAACAATTCACAGAGCCATTGGCCCGGTGAATCTCTGTGAATACTCATTCTGTGCGAATGGATGCTCAAAATGAATTTCAAATATCATCACATAATACCACAATATGGCCACTAGATGGAGCTTAGCAGCACAGGACATAAATGCTTCACTCCTATGCTTCTCAGCTCCATCTAGTGGCCACAATGTGGTATTTACATAATACATTCAAATTGGAAGTAAACTGTACCAAGAAATTAATTACAGGCAGCGCTGCATCCGGCTTTTAACAGGTAGTTAGATTACACAACAGCGGGCTTCCCCACTGCTTGTGAAACCTAACTTGGTGAGGCAAGAGCTGTCACAGCCTCTACTCTGTGTTAGAGGTGTGAGCTATGTGGATGGCTTGGACCAATGGCAAAGCGCCATTGGTCCACACTGTCCAATCAAAAAAAAACGAGAAAAAAACAAACAGTGAGGACATTGATCTCGATGCCTCACCAGTGGCTCAGCAGTGACGAGCAAGTGGGAGACAGGGAGGCTCCTCCTCCCCACACAGCTTGGTTACCGAGCTGGGGGCGGGGCTTTGGCAGGATAGGAGTGGAGCTTTGGCGGGAAGGGAGCAGAGCTTGGCGGGCTGGGGGATGCCTCACCCAGCACAGAAGGCACGACATGTCGCTGATATTTAGATATGATTTTCCTATAGTTGTGTCCAATACGTGCCTGATCCCCGCCATATTTCTGTCCCAGGATGCACCATATTCGACAACTGCAAGTCCTGTTACAATGGATCGTGGGGAGGAACATTGGACGACTTCTACGTGAAAGGAAAGTACTGTTCAGAGTGCCGCATCGGCTGGTATGGAGGAGACTGCATGAGTAAGTAGCATCAATATATACAACATATACAGTATAATATATATATATATACACACACACACACACACACACACACACACACACACACACACACACACACACACACACACACTTATTTCCAGTGCTCATGAGCTCCATCTAGTGCCCATAACTTGGTATTACATTACATGTGACCTGAAAAGACAATTATACCAAGAATGTTGGTGTTTGCCTCTATTCACTTACAAGGAACATTCGCCGAGATTCACAGGGTGAATGGTTCTGTGAATTATTTTTTAACTAGACCCCTCGGGTGTAGGATGTCTGACACCATTGCATGATGAAAGCTACCATCTTTTCCTCATAACGGTCCCTCAGTGCATTCTAAAAGCTTCCCTAGCACCAGTTTCGTCACAAGAGGGGTGCGGCCCGCACCCGGGTGACACCATTGGAGGGGTGATACCAAAATGACTGACAGTCATTTTGGTGTTGCCCCCTCTGAAAAGTCAGGCACTCGGTCAGGGACCGAGAGCCTGACAGTTGCTCGAGAAAGAGGAGGGGACCCGGCGGCATACCTGCCCGGTGACGTCCCCTCCTCTCTCTGCTGGCATCCATCACCAAGATGGCCGCCAGCAGGTAACAGCGCTACCGCGCGTGACGTCATCACGCGCATGCGTCACTGCAGGGTGTCACCCGGAACCCGCACTGGGTGTCACCTGGTACCGCACCAAGTGTCACCCCGCCTCCGTAGGCAAAATTTTTTGCAAAAATAGAAGCTCAGGTGCCTCCTTCTTGACTCCCATGTGACAAAGGCCTGTTAATGGATCATTCAGTCCACAGGGGCGCACTGCAGGATGATGGGAACTTTTCAGAGGCATTGCAGGTTTTTTTTTTGGCATGCGTTGAAGGCCCGTTCTTAGAAACGAAGGGTGCATACCGCCATCTGATGGTGCTGGGTGCCCTGCATTGTGGTAAGTTTAACATAAGAGTGCCAAGCACAGGTTTACAATAGGGTATGCACTATTTTTTCAGATCTCACTGGCCTGTAACGCAGGCATCGATGTGCCACGCGGTCTGGCGCTGGCGATCGCACTGCAGGCAGGGGGTACCATTGACTTCAACGCAGCGCCACGCCCCCTTCCGCTCCTGTACGCAGGAAGCCGGCCGGGATGCGTTCCAGCGCGTTCCAGCAGCTAACCGCTCTGGAACACACTGCATATGGTGTGAACAAGCCCTCACTCCTGAGATTCACACAACTCTGCCAGATAGAATTCTCAGCCTAGCGACCTGACATTTCTCTGCTGCAGTTGAGCAGCGCAACTTGGTCACCACCCAGCAGTCAGCCTGGGATTGGATAATGAAGGAGCAGCGGCAGAATTGTGAGGTCATCTGCCTGCTCTCTCCTCCTGTCATGCTGGCTGCATATTTGTAGACTTAAATGACGGGATCCGCCCAGCTGCCTGAGTGACAGCAGGCTCTGCCTATCTAGAGGCAGAGCCAGCTGTACCCGCCCCCTCCCCCGTCCGTTCCGCCAGTCAGCGCTGGCAGATCGGAGCGGGGAGGGGGGAATCCAGCCCCTCCCCTGTCATGGCAGAGAGCCGTGACAGGATCGAGAGGTGAGCGAACGCCGGTATGTGTTCGCTCACCTCCCGATCTACTGAGCCGACCTGTGACAGTCTCATTGTCACAGGTCGGCTAGAACTATGAGGTGAGTGAAAAGCACTCACCTCATAGTGCTCCTTTAAACACATGCACCAGGAAGTTTAACCTGCAGTGAATATTTGGTTACTGTCACATTCACTGCCCCGAAGAGTCATTTAGTATTTCTTTTATACCATTATTTTTAGTGCTTTTTATATGGCAGGAAAAGTTGTTGAGTAGCATGGAAGCAGCGGTCTCTCTCCAGAGGTCCAACATGCCCCCTGCTGAGTCAGAGCTTACCAATTAGCAGGGGGCAGGAGCTTTGTTAATTGCAGAGGTTTTGGTCTGAAGGGGGTGTGCCAGACCTCTGAAGAGAGACCCCTCCTCCCACACATAGAGCAAGGGGGTATTTCTCTGCAGCACACTGGCAGGGAGGGGAGGGGAGGGGGAGAAGCTTTTCCACTCAGGCTGTGGCTGCTTTCTAAAGAAAATTAAAGGATAACTATGTGGTTAAGGCTTTTCCCCATAGTTCTCCTTAGGGTAACGGGAGGACACAAACTAGCGTCCTCCCGTCACCCTAGGCTCAGTATACCGCGAGCTACAGCTCGAGGTATACTGAGACGCCGCTGTATACTTTTATGTCTGGATCCGCCCAGTTGCGTGACTGACAGCTGGCTCTGCCTATCTAGGAGGCAGAGCCAGCTGTACCCGCCCCCTCTCCCGTCCGTTCCGCCAGTCAGCGCTGGCAGATCGGAGTGGGGAGGGGGGAATCCAGCCCCTCCCCTGTCATGGCAGAGAGCCGTGACAGGATCGAGAGGTGAGCGAACGCCGGTATGTGTTCGCTCACTTCCCGATCTACTGAGCCGACCTGTGACAGTCTCATTGTCACAGGTCGCCTAGAACTATGAGGTGAGTGAAAAGCACTCACCTCATAGTTCTCCCTTAAATGTAAGACACCTTTTGTTTTGATGTACCTGAAATATGTAATGTACCTTAATATATCTATATCTATCTATCTATCTATCTATATATGTAGCTGATTTAAAAATAAAAGATCAATTAGGCTTTAAATAGTCTGCATTAAAAAAGAAATAAAACGTAAAATATATACAAAATAAGATAAAAATATATTCCAAATAAAATAAAACAATATATTGAAAATAAAATAAAAAAATATATATCAAAACATATGAGAATATATTTATATATGAGGAAACAAAGAATATGAGGATTTATATATATTTCAAAAATTCATATTAGTGGTCCGTGGGATCTAAAATGATGAATTTAGCGTTCCATGAGGTCCGAAAGGTTGTCGACCGCTGATTTAGAAAGCTTCCAACCCTCAAGCAGACATCTGTTTTCACAACATCGGAAAATAAAATGGTTTTATGTAATACACACCGTGCATGTCCCATCAATGATTAATATCTTAAATCCTGTTACATAAAGGTTCCATCAGGTGTCTAAAATTCAGCATATTTGTTTTCCTCGGGGAGTCACTTTGTTTTTATAGTACATTTTAAAAAAACAGAATCAGCTTTTTTTCAACAAAGAACATTTCCTCCAGGTATTTCCCTGGAAACCGCACGTGGTGATAAATGCGGGGCGTGCCGATGTCACCAGGAATGATCCGCGAGTGCGCCACTTCAGCTTATTTTGGGGTTTTCTGTTATTTATAGCAAACCTTTGCTGAACTGCGGCATTAACCTCTCGTTCCTCATCCCTGAGGGATTAAGGAAGATGAAGCGTTCAGACGAACGCCAATCGGGGATGTCTTGTAGTGGTACCCGTTGCTATGGCAACTGCAAAAAAAAAAATCCCCCTTTCCAACAGCAGCTTTTTGATTTAATGAGCGAGAAGCGATAAGAATAGTCTCTATGGGGCGGCCCTGTAACCCTCTGTTGGCTGGAAAGCCGGCCTGTAACTTTAATGCTCCGGTATTGATTAGGTATCGATCGGTAAAATCTCATATAGAGTCTCATATGAATTGTATATAAGCTGTAACATTTAAATGTGATTTCTATATTGGTTTTCAATCTTTTTTTTTTTTTTATGTGCAACCTTCGTTGATCCTGCCACAGAGGTCATTGTTTAGGCACTCCCTGCTATGGGGTGACTACTGATTCCCAATTGTGCTTCTGTGTTGTCACCCTGTCACATGAATACAAGTGACAGTGCTAGTGCTAACATGTGTTTTGCGCAGGCATGGTCAACGCAGAAATCTGTAATCAACAAAGATCATGCCCCCTGGCAATTGGAGAGGTCTAAGTCTGACTCAGCAAGGGGCATATTGGACCTCTGCAGAGTGACCACTGCTTCTCCACATCTCCACAACTGCACCATTCCATAAAAAAACTACATTAAAAAGTGGGACACAAGGAAACGCTTCCACTGCTTCTCTGCAGCATGCTGGAACTGGCCTCAGTGGCGTTCACAAGGGGGGGCGGCCCGCCCCTGGGTGACACTATTGCAGGGGTGACACCAAAATCGGGTCTGGGAGCCTCAGGTTTAGTAATATCTGTAGATGGTTTTCTGTTGTATTCGCAACGAATATTCGTAAACTCATCCGAAAATAACGAAAATTCGGATTTTGTCCGAATCTGAAAACTCGAACCGAATTGAATTTCGGATCCGGATCCCGAATTCAGAAATAACAAAATATCCACACGGAATCGAACTGAACTGAATTTTTCTGCAGCTTACACGTCTATGACTCAGCAAGGGGCATGTTGCACCTCTGCAGAGAGACCTCTGCTCCTCCACATCTCCACAACTGCTCCATTCCATAGAAAACTACATTGAATAAAAATGGGACAGCAGGAAAAGCTTCCACTGCTTCACTGCAGAGGCCTGTCCCCTGCCAACATGCTGCATGCCTCTCTACTCTATGGCTGTTACTTAGCAAAGGACATGTTGGACCTCTGCAGAGAGACCACTGTTTCTCCACTTCTCCTTTCATTATCTGATTTAGTTCAGTTGGGCTGAAATCAAATGCACACTGAACCATTATAGTGTCTTTATGATATATCGCCAATATATGGACCCAAAATCTATAACTTACACACATGCCAGAAAGCAGGCTGAGAGTAGGAGCTCCTGGTTGCAAGTCTATTCAGACTCAATTGGATTGTTGTCCTCTTATCATGCTTCATGCATTACAGGTTGACTATGAGGGATGGGGGGGCATGTCAAGTCATCTGGGGGAAAGGGGAGGACTGCGCTAGTGAACTGATGCTCCTTCATGGTCCAATGAGAAGGGTTGGGATGGGCAAGTAACACGGGAGGCTGCAGTGCTGCAGGCCTTGTCACCCTTCTGCTCTATACTATGTGAACTGCGAGAGTGCCTGACATTTTGCTCTTAGGAGAGGGAATTGATGTTCTGGATGTGGAAATGCCTCAGCAGAGCCAGAGACTGAATCCAATGATTTGCTCTTTTCCACAGGATGCGGAGAGGTCATCCAAGCGGCCCGCGGAGAGATTATGATGGAGAGTTACCCCTTTAATGCCCACTGTGAATGGAGCATCCAAGTCACCCCCGGATATACAATAGAACTCAGGTACATAAAGCTTTAACATTCAAGTTATATGAACACAGCGGCAGGGGCTCATCTAGATGGGCGTTCTTGTCCAACGCAGCCATTCAAACTCAAAAACATGCCCGACACCCATTGGCATGAGCCCTAAATCTACCAACATGTTCTTTCACATACCTGTCTGCAGAAATTGGCCATTGCCGTTTGGAGGGCTCTTTGTTTTTTTTTTCTTAAAGTGTAATTTTCTGTTATTATTGGAACATTTGTCATTTTTGGTGTCACATTTGTACTTTCTGTATTATTTTTTCATTTCTGTGTTATATATTCTCAGATCTGAGGGTTCTGATGTCACGGGCTGCAGCTGAGCGGCTGTGATATCAAATGTTGGCCGTTTAGAATATCTCTATAGAATAAAATGGAGCCACGAGTGGCTTCTGCGTCCAACCTTTAGACGGCAACTCCGCTTAGGAGCTCACCTCCGCTCCCTACAAATGTAGCCGTGTAAGTCTAGCGCCCTCAAAAAACTTTATTGATTTGAGACAGTCAAACAAGACCCTCCCTGGGTCCTCCCACTTTAACCATACAGGCCTATTGCTTCATGTTCCGTCTCTTTAAAAACAGAGAAATGCCAGATCTGCCGGGAATCCGGAGAGCGCTGACAATGCTGCCTCTTCTGTACTGAAATCTAAAGCTGTGTTGTCAGTTCTCTCCTTCTGGACTACAGAACCCCCCCCCCCCCCACCCCCACCCCACACCACATCT